GATTTACACTAATGAAATTATTTTCTTCATCAGCCATTTCTCAAGCTCTGAGCCCTGTGGCAGGAAAACTTCTGGAAACCCAAAGAGGACTTTTTCTTTTGTTACCCGGTCTGTTCGTAGGTCCATCCTGATATTAAACACACATGGACAGAATGCTGTCTGCTGAAACCAGAGTCTTTTATTGCACTGTTATTTCACTCACTGAGGGGGATGGAGAACGATGGTGGGATGGGGGCTGGCTAATGGAGACAGATGGCCCATGCAATTACCACTTGAAAAACAGGTTTGTCCTTCAAAAAATGACAACAGCAGTGGACTCCAGCAACAGGTGAAATTTGAAAAAGGATTAGGGAAGGATTACTTAAGAGAAAGGGAACAGGTGTATCCAGGGTTCTCCAGGCTGGGCTGGGAGGGGGGCTTCGGCTTTTGAATGCCCTCAAAATAGCCCCTTTGCGTTTCAGTTATGTTTGTACCCATGGACATTGGCAATGGCCAGTGATGGTGAGTTTGTGGCCATTTTACAGAAGGGCAAAAGGTAGAATGAGCACAGAAGTTTTCTTCCTTTTTTTGTTTGTTTGTTTGTTTGACTCACATTTAGCTTAAAAACATGATGTTTCTTTCTTTATTTGCTTATTTATTTGAATTTATTGGGGTGGCATTGGTTAATACACAACTCAAAGTGAGAAGGTATGTGTGCTTTAGCAAAACAGAAGAATATATGTACCTGAAAAGAAGGCAGAATATCTCCTCTTCACCCTGCAGGACCCCAATGTTCAACTTCAGGACCCTGGGAATAGGTAGAAAAGGAATCTTAATTCTCTGGGGGGAGAGAGTGGCTATGGAGTCAAGGCCAGAATTTTTACAAGTAAGTTGAACATAGAGTATTATGACTGGAAGTGACCATTTGGCCTTTATCCATCTTACAAATGAAGAAACAGTCCCAAGAGGGGCCAAGACCTGCCTACATCATGAGCAGTTGGTGACAAAGTCACAACTGGAGTTCAGAGAGTTGGGGCCCTATAGTGCAATCGAAGCCATGTTTTTATGCTGTGAGTAATCCTATCTTACCAGGCTTGGTCAAGCGCTCCAAGCCAGGAAGGTGAGAACAAGAGGGTCTGAGCCCATGTTCCATCCAGCAGAGGGACTCCTTGGGGAGCTCCAGTTGCTCTTTTGCTGCCAAGCTTTGGGGGAGGAAGAGCTGCAGGGGGCATCTGGGAAAGGTAGTCCAATGAAATAATAATAACAGCTGCTTATTAAAAATTTTAGCATAAGTATATCCCCACTGTTGCATGGGTTATACTTATCCTAAAACATTAGTTGTTGTTTATCTGAAACGCATATTAAACTGGGCACCCTGTACTTTCATTTGATAAGTCTGGTCCTCCTATCCTCAGGTTGTCACGCGCAGATGCAAGCTGAGAACCTCTGTCCTAGGTGACGGCAAGCCTTCCTTCCACAGGCACTCACGGTTGCTCTCAGCTTCACCACTTCCGGCCCCAGCAGCAAATTGTGTGTGTGTGTGTGTGTGTGTGTGTGTGTGTGTGTGTGTGTGTGTGTGTGTGTGTGTTAGCTTGCTTGCTGAATCTAGTAGCTTGGAAACACAGGGCTAGAATTAGTATCTTACAAAATTGTAAAATACCTGTCCTAACTTTCTCCTCTGCAATCTCTAAAGCAGACCAGGAATGACCAGAATTGAACCTGGGACCCTTCAGTCCGCAGGCTGACACTCTATCCACTGAGCCAAACCGGCCAATATATGTGTGTTTGTGGGATCTTTTGTGGGACTGTGTCTGGCGTTTAACTCGGCAGCAGAGCTAATTGTATACAGGGGAGGACAAATCATGAGAGGTTAGCTAAGCGCCACTGGGAGACTGGTGATGTCTGGTAATAACACTGAAGTTGCTGCCTGCTCCCTGGTTTGGTCCTGTGCTGAGTTCCTAGCAGGTAAGCTATGGAGAGTTGGGCACTCCAGAGATGCCATGGATACCCTGGAACAACCACAGCCTAGGAAGGGAGAATCTAAGTTCCTTTACTGGAGACATTTTCATTCTACACTCTGATGAGGATGTGGAACAAGGGCCCTTGTCGTGCACATAACCCCAGTTAGCCACAGCATCAGTGTACACCCACAGGGCATGTGGCTGGACAGGACCAAAGGAAGGTAAGTGGCTCCAAACAGGAAGAAGGACCTTCGGCTCTGCCCGGCTGGGACCAGGGAGCATCACCTGCTAGCTGTGCCATCTGGGGGAAGGCATTTTCCCCCTCAGCCTCCATTTTCCATCTGTAAAATGGGGGTGATGATAATACCTTATGGAGTGTGAGGATAAAATAAAATTGTGCTTGGAAAACAGGTCTGGAATATTATAAGCACTTTATGAATAGCAGCTCTTATACTGAACAGTATCTCTAAGACAACCTGGGACCACATTACACATATATACAGGGATGGGCAAAAGTCGGTTTATGGTTGTAAGACAAATAAATAATACAATAATTAATAAATAATAATAATACAAGAATAAACTGTTTCTCGTTTGCCCACCCCTATATAATGCGCCTGAAAGTGTTCACGTTCAAAGGATATAAAATTAAATGAACAAGATGTTCCTTAACATTCGCTCAGCCAGAGGATTGATAGAGCCCAGCTCTGCCACAGCTTTGAAACATGGACAGGAAATGAAGAAGAATTTCCCAATTCTAGCCTCTGTGTCTGGGATTTTTTTTTTTTTTTACTCAATTCTACTTTAATGCAATTAAGTATCAAAAGTCTAAGGCAGATTCTTGCAACTGTATGCCAACATGTTATTCACATGTGCCTGCCTGTCTGGGGTGGGTGTTTAGGGTGTAGTTATATGAAAATAGCCTCTGATTACGTTTCTGACTTTTCCAGGTAGGTTATAATTTCAGACGGTTGTTTTGACGTGACTCCTTGGCAGGCCACACATATCCGTGAGATCATCGGGACGATGTCAATTAGAATGACATATGACATTTTAAAAAATTTAACTATTCCGGTACATAATGTGGTATGTCTTACTACTGTGGAAACCTGCAAAGGGTCAGTCTTATGCAAACAAAATTAATTTCCAGTGTAGGCAAGAAGACAGGGAAATATGAAGGCAAACCCTTCCTCGCTCTTATTTTTGTATCCTCACCCAATGATATGTTTATTTTTTAAATCCTCATTGGAGGATATTTTTCCACTGATTTTTAGAGAAAATGGAAGAGAGAGGGAAAGACAGAGAGAAATATTGATGTGAGAGAAACACATTGATTGGTTCCCTCTGCATGTGCCCCAACCAGAGCCCAGGAAGGGGAGAAGCCTGCAACCAAGGTACATGCCCTTGACTAGAACTGAACCTGCCCTTGACCAGAATTGAACCCGGGAACTCTTTGGTCTACAGGCTGACACTCTATCTGCTGATCCAACCCAGTTAGGGCTGTTTATTGATTTAGTGAGAGGAGGGGGGGAGGGAGAGAGAGAGAGAGAGGGAGGGAGGGAGAGAAACATCGAGGGGAAAGAAAAGCGTTCATCAGTTGCCTCCCAGTGGAACCCCCAGCATAGGTATGTGACCTGACCAGTAATCGAACCTGCAACTTTTTGATGCACGGGACAACGCTCAACCAGTTGAGCTCCCCGGCCAGGGCCACACTCTCTTTTATGGCTATTTCTGTGATGAATAAGAGAGTGTAACAGTCCCTTTGGATGAATCCTATTACTCTGTCTTCAACTTGGCGTTTAATTTCATTTTCTGAAAGACAGAGGAGTAAAGGGGACTGTCTTTGAGTGCATGTATGTGCTCACACGCATATCTGCATGCAGAAGACTGGTCCTATGTCTACATGTATACCTGGGTCAGAAATAAGTCCCATGAGAATGTGGGTTTGGGCTCTTTGCTCACTGCTCTGTCCCTAAACCTAAAACAAGTCTGACACATGTAAAATATGTCTTCTGACTAGCGGAATTAATCTGTATGTTGAATATCTGTTCATGTGTGTTATCTATGATAAATGTACCCACTTTGTTGCTCATCAACCTTTCACCGATGAGAACTGAGCTCTGGGTTAGGAAAGGGAGAGGGCAACTTCCAGGGCTCAGGCAGGAGACATGGAAACAGAGAAAGGGAAAATAGACTTCAGGGAGGGGAGGATGGGGGTGGGCAGGTGTCCAGGCAGAAGGTCAGAGACTAACCTGTAGATTTCGTATGACCCCAATGTGGGGGCTGCCTCCAAGGTTATTGACCCACTGGTTCACAGACTGGGGTCCTAGGCGCCACCCCCCCACCC